GGGAAGAGAAGATATTTATTAAATATTCTTCCTACTTTGTTGCCATTTTTGCTTTCTGGTGAAATTTTACTTTAAATTAAATTTCTTAAACGGAAGAGGGGAATCACTTAACTCCCCCTCCCCACCAAAATGTGCACTTCAGGATTGCACAAAACGTTGCAGGTCAACCCAGAAGTTTCCTTACTCTTCATTCCCTGGTACAAATTACTTTTCATTATGGAAGACGGAGGAGTGCCCAGGGTCCTGTTGAATCTGAGCCGCTCTAATCACAGCCAGGAGATGGGAACTTGTATCGTAACATGATGATGAGGCAAAGGCCAGCCCGGTACACAGGTTTGTACTGCTGTTCAAATTTCATTTAGTACTGTCAACACTTTCTGGCCAAACTGGGTTTATATCAAATGAGCCTCAATTCAACTTAGAACTGCTGCTTTGTGTTAATGAGATGCGTGGGCTGAACCTCAGCATGCATTTTCAAAAGCAGACATTGAGAAGTAAATTAAACGGGAAAGAAAAAGCCAAGAGGAGAAAGCACAGAAAGTTAAGGACAAGTAACGGGGAAATTGAGGTTCTTACAATAGGAAGAAAAAAGGAAAAGAAAAACAACAACAACAACAAAAAAAAAAAAAACCAGTACTTGAATAGGAAACGAAACGCATGAGCACAGCGAGAGCGTCTGTTCAGCAGGAGCGCCCCGGGCTCCTCCAAACACCCCAGCAACCTTCCCGCACCTCCCCGGCGGAGGCTCCTGCTGCCAGCCCAAGGCAAAGCGAGAAGCCCTGGCTGTTTAGCAGTCGGCCCGACGCCCCGAGAGCCGCCTCCACACCTCACCGCCCTGACCCTCCATCACACCGCCCCGGGCTCTCTCTCGCCGCCATTACCGGCCGTTGGGTGCCGCCGTTGCCGTGAGGACGGGCAGCAGACGCAGGGCACGCTGGGAGTCGTAGTCGCGGCCTCGCCATCTTACCTCGCTGCCGCCCGTTTGTCTATGTCTACGCTTCGTCCCCGCACACGCTATTTGTATTTTTGTCCACATAAAGCTTTTCATGCTCTAAAATCTTTACCTGTAATGGTTTCTTTGTCTGCTGGCTTCGAGTTTGTTCTCTCCCGTGCTGTTCAGGAGGGGATTTGGATGCTAAACAGCGCAGAGAAAATATTTGCCTCTTAATGCACTAAGAATTTATTGTTGCTATATGTGCGACAACTATCAGTATGCTTTGGAGCACGTGAACACAGCAACCTTTGTAATTCTTTAGGGCACTTGTATCCATATCAACTCATTTGTGAACAGCATGTTTCAACCTGTCAGACATTTTTGTTCCATTTATTAGGAAAGTTTTTATTTACATGCAATTTTTCTAGAGAAATGGGCATAGAATCAGAGAATCACAGAATGGTTTGGGTTGGAAGGGACCTCACAGCCCACCCACCCCAACCCTGCCATGGGGCCTACCAGCCCAACAGCTCAGCTGCCCAGGGCCCCATCCAGCCTGGCCTTGAGCACCTCCAGGGATGGGGCACCACAGCTTCTTTGGGCAGCTGTGCCAGCACCTCATCGCCTTCTGAGTAAGGAATTTCCCCCAATATCTAACCAAAACATCCCATCTTTTAGTTTAAAGACATTTCCCCTTACCCTGTCTTTATCAGACCCTGCAAAAAGTCAGTCCTCTTCCTGTTCATAAGCTCCCTTCTAGCACTGGAAGGCCACACTGAGGTCTATCTGCAGACTAATCTTACGCTGAACAAGTCCAGCTCCCTCAGCTTGTCTTCATAGGAGAGGTGCTCCAGCCCTTTAAGCACTTTTGTGGCCCTCCTCTGGATCTTCAAAAGCTCTGGTATATAATAACCTCGAGCAAAAATGTATTGTTTTGTACTAAGTTGTTTATCATGTTTTGCAGGGAAATACTCCGTGAAAATACCTAATTCCAAATGGTTTGGTTTTTTTCCCCCCCAAACCTCCCATTGCTTCTCAAAAGAAGAAAAACTGACATGGCAAGCCACAGTAAACAGTGCAAAATATCCATACTGTTATTTTTAGTTTTCACTGATTTTTTTCAGGATTCCTGTTCAATACATGAAATGCTGCATTTCCAGCTTCATTAGCAGTTTGAATGTGCAAAAAACTTAGTTTCTAAAGCAGCATTTTTCTTGTGCTCTAAGTTCTATCTAATCAATCCTGGTAAGGAGGATTATATTCTACTGTAAGTAGTTTTAGGATTGGACACTGTCATGTTCAATCATAATTTTTAGTATGTACATAAGCTCAGTTTTATCTCTGTCTGCAGGTCAGCTTGCTGAACTCAGTATCACGTTGCAAGCTTACAGCAGAAATGAGCCTGGTCCTTAGATTCTAAAAGTAATCTGTCAATATTTATAACATTCTTTAAATACCTTTTGTGCTCAGAGACCTTCTTGAGCAAATATATGCAGGCAGTCACTGAATTGTGACTGTCTTTGCAATAAAAGAAAACAGCCAGATGGAAAAAAGTGCATCCTGGATAACACAGTAGAACAGAACTTTTTTTACTGAGAATTCTGGACCTCCTCTTATAACCTGTGCATTGGAAAAATTCACCAGTGATGCAGAGAGGAGGAAGAGAATCCAATAATGGGGTTTGCAAACATGCAATTGGTCCAATCATCCTCCTAGTATCAGGAAATGGACTGACACAGTCGTTTCAGAGAAGTGCCTTAGCCCTACAGTTTGGATCATGATCTGAGTTTTTTTCTGCTGCAAGTATTTGTAACAGAGCCTTGTTTCGGTGAGAAATCTCTGATCTCTGCTATAATTACTTTTGAACTTATGTTGCCCCTCCCTTTTATAATGTGAAAAAATGTCCTTACTCTGATCAGGGATAGAGTACAAGCCTTTTATACTTGAGATGACTGAGACCGCACCAATGCAACTTTAAACATTACCCTACAGCTCTGTGATCTTCCCCTGCACTGTGTTGCCTGATCCCTGTCCCTTGTCCCTTCCCCCTCTCCTGAGCATTTCTCCAGCCCTGACTCATTGGTGCAGGACTCTCCTTTGCCTTTTATGGACTGCCATCCTGTCAATCTAATTCGATAAGGCCAGGGGCAGGTGCAAACCCCTTGCTGTGGCTCCGCTTACTACCCAATCCTCACACTGGCCTCTCATCCCAAAATACCTAGGAGCCAATGGAGTGGGAAAACCCGGGACCCTGAAGAAAGAGGGAGCTAAAGTGGGTGGATTGCTGTGAGGAGCACCCGTTTTTGATCCAGGTCCTGCTGAAGGCTGGGATTCCTCTCGGGACTTTGTTGACTTGTGGATAGCAGGCTTGCTCTGCTGATTCATTGTCATCACTATCAAAATGGTGATCAAAGTCTTTGTAGCCACATCTTCGGGGTCTACAGCGGTAGGTGTCTCATTTAACATACGCCTCTTTCTGCTGGGATGAAGCTGGTAAATCAGCCTGGAAGATCCCAGAACAGCCTGAGTTTGCATGCAAGAGGAAAACACTGATTTTGTTCTCATCTGTATTGACCGTTTTATTTTTGAAAGCAACTCAAGATGTAGAAAATGGATGTTAATGCAAACTTGTTCGCATGTTAGACTTTACTATAGAAATAACATTTCCATATAAATTATCTGTCTGTTAGTAGATTTATTTCTGTTTGAAGAAGTGTATGCAAAATATCTTAATTGAAGAAGGAAAAAGTGGATATTGTATTTGCACAAATACTAAGGTAGATTGTTTATAGTAGAAATTAATGTATTTAATTTTAAAGGAAACTTCAGGACGCTGCTCCTGCTGAGTGGGATCTGTGTCTGATAAAGAGCCTGGAGTCAAAGTGAGCTGAATAAAGTTTTGCAGAAAGAATGTTTTCTCCATCCTCTCTCTTTTTTTTTTTTTTAATTTAATTTTTTGTTGTTGTTGTTTTTAAGTACCTCTTAAAATGGGGTACTGTTGATTCTTAGAATTGAGATCTACTGCTGTAGCTGTCAGCATAATGTATTAGCTGAAGGAAAGGGCATGTGAATAGTAGAGAGGTTGGAAGACTGTGGGAGGTGGGAACCGGGAAAGGACTGTTTCCTTTTATATCCAGTTCCCTTATCATCTCAGATTGCAGCTTTCCTTTGGCAGTCACTCACTCCCAGTGACATGGCTAAACAATTTGGCTGGTGCTAGCACATATCTGTAACTACATCTCTGTCGCCCTGACACTAGCCTCATGTCTTTAAGAAGCTTCCAGAGTTTAAAAGCTTTAAAAAATGCCCCGATCATATAGCCATCATCTCTAGAAAATGAACAGGGAGATATTTGCTAGAATTCAAACTTCCAAAAGGAAATTTTGCAGCTTTCTCATCAGCTTTTTTTTTTTTTTTTCCCCCCGCCTATCTGTAAGCTTGACTCTCTGAATTTACTTTTGACACTTTAGTATTCCTTTCTAAATAAGAAACCTTATATGCAAGACAGAGAAAGAGGAGGAGGTTGGTAACTGCAGGTTTGTTAATTTGTAATCTAACAGTGACTGCTTAAACAGTGTTGTAAATTGCCATGAAGTGTGCATTGGCAGTCTTTTCACTCCTGTTTGATCTCCTGTTTTGGTCTGCTTTGATTGACCTAACAAGAGCCTTGCCTGCCCACTTTACCTGTCATCTGTTCTGCAGAAAAGGTGTGACCATGACCAAAATCCCACTGCAGACATCCTCTGTGTGTGCTGTGGCCATTACCTTGGTCCTCCTTTGAGATAAATGTGCGACTCTGGCATGGATTGTTGCCATTCCAGCTGCAGGTTTGGGGTTGAAGTTTAGCAATGGAGTATTTGAAGTAAATGTTGACATTCAGAAGGTCGCTTAAGCAATTAAAACTAAACATATCATATACTTAGTTCTATCTGAACCCAAATCTTTCCTTTACTATACACATTTATTGCATCTCTCTCCCAGCTTTCAGCAATAACTACCTCCTTTCCTGTTGGACTGCAATGAAGAGGTGTATGCGTATGCTACAGTGAACACAGGGCAACATGAAAACTTTATCCCACCGTTTTGTACTGTTAAGCAGTGCTGCTGTCAGTTTTTTCTTCTGAGAAAGACAGCTGATGCCAGTGAACTGCATTTGGCTTTAAACTTATTAATGCCATTCTCCACTATATGGTAGCAGCCTTCAAAAGCTGTCAGTGAGATCCCAGACATATTGAAAGGAAGAGTATGGCATCTCTGCCAGGCAATATGCCTCTGTATTTCCTTTTTGCTAGTGTGTGGGTTGTATGAATAGCTGTAGCAATCACAGAAAGCAGCATGTGTTTGGATTACTGGTACATAACTTTAATTCCAAGTAAACACAATGTTCAGCTGGAGAAGTTTTCCACATTTACTGATTAAAATAGATAGAAGGTATTTTTTCAGTGAACTTTTGATAAGTTTTGATATATATATTAAGTAAAACTCACTCATTCAAGGAGCTAACATAAACTCCAGTGTAGTATTATATTATGAATTTTGTATCAGCCTTGTACAACTTCTGCTATTCCTCTCCATGGAAATTTTTAGTAAAAGGCAAAGGATTTATATGATCTGAAGAGAAACCAGAGTATCTGTTGGAAGAATGAATTTCATTCCTAAATTCATTTTTAAATTGGAAGTCTATATTGCCCTAGTAGCTCTGATGATCTATCTTCAGTGTGTCTGGTCTCCATCATGCATGTTATTCATTCTAAATTTCAAAATATGATGGTCCTGACCAGTCCTGTTGTAGGTCAGCAGAGTATCATTAGTGAAGAATTAAAATAATTCCTATTTTATGTGCTACACAATTACATTGCTAATTTACATTGCTAATTGCAACTTGTTCTTGTGTAAAGAAGTACTTTTTAAAAGTGAACGCAATGAACCCAGCAGCATTCTGGTGCTCTGGATCAGATACTTGAGTAATATAATTCAGTGTAGGTCTAGGGCAGATTGGTTTGTATTTTTCCCCTCAGTAATTCAGAAATTTATTTTAAATAACTTTAGCTTAATGATCTTTCTGTGCCAAACATAGCTGATGCTGAACTATGCATGAAGGCAAGCAGAAGTGGAGATACAGCATTAAAAAAGCACTAAATGATTGGCTTGTAAGAAGCATTCAGTGCTAAAATAATTTTTTTTCTCACCACAGAAGTGTCTAGAAGTGGGTAAATTCCTGCAAAATCCAAGTGTATCATGAAGTCTTACACAGAGGTCTTCTAAAGTCTTGCTTCCTAGTGCTTATGGTTAAGGCACTTCTGAAACCACTTTTTTCCAGTGTTTCTGTTTCTTTTAGCTTACTCGCTTTCAAATCTGCAGGTCTCAGTTGTAAAGTAACTCAATCACATCAGAAAGACCAAGCAAGATGTAGACTAATAAAACTAATACTTGATAGAATAACTTGATAGTGAGTTGGAATGTAATAAATAAGAATATCTATCAACAGATTGTGTCTCAGTTAGAACAGAGAGCTGCAGCAGCCTTGCCTGCTGACGGTGATGTTCCCACTGCAGTAAATTGTTGACTAGACACCATTTGCTTCTACCGCAGGCAGCTGGAAATGCTTTGGATTTCAAGAATATAGATAGCATTCAGTTGTGCATCAGGTGAATCTACTGTGATCTGTAGCTCTTACACTCTAGCTAGATGATATTTATTTAAAAGTGTTCTTTCTTAATTTGAGGGACTGTCAGCAAGGCACAGTGGAACTTAAGCTTTGTTGAAAGGGAAAATGGCATTGATGAAATGATATCTTGCTCACCACCACTTCCAGGGAATCTATGGCTGAGTAATCTGAATTCTTCCCATGCCATCAGACACAAGTGAGAGCACAACAAGTTCCTGCAATCTCATCCATTTTGGGAAAACCTTTGTGTGTCCTCTGTGTTGTTATGAACTGGAAGATTTCCCCGAGTGCTGTTTGCTAGAGACATTCTTATGGTTGCCCAGCTACTGGTGCTGACCGTGGCTGAGGCTCGCTTTATGGTTTCATACTTCATGTATGTCTCAGGCATCATATCTTCTGATCTGCCTATGTCCTAGTCATTCTAAGTCTCAAGTATCACCTCCTGCATAGTTTATTATTATTGTCATCATGAAAAACATCTTGCTTTATTCTTATCCAGGCATAATTACATGAAGCTTTATTTATCCTCAGCATTTTTTTTTTCTGGCACTGTCTGATCCTCCTGTGTATTATGAACTTCAAACTGAAGAAAAAATTGTTTATCCAGTGTTTTTTTCTAAAAGTTATAGCTGCAGCCATATGCAGGGGAGAACAGACTCAGTAGTTCTGTTCTCTTTATCTCCTTAGTGGCATTATCTATCTGGCTCTTGCTATTCCAGGAGCCGTATCTCCTTCAGTGCTCCGAGGGACAAACTGATGCTGAAATTGCAGCTGACAGCACTTGAATGCACTGACTTTTAGAGCAAATGGTAGAACTCTTAGTACTGGCTCATGCAGATGTTATTAACCCTTTATACAAACATAATAATGCCACCTCCTCCAATGAAGTGTGCATGTGTACCTCAGGCAATCCTTTGTACCATCTGGGTGTGCTTAGCAAATAACCATGCAGCTAAATGGCCATTAAGAAAATAACCTCTAATTAACAATTGAAAATAAGAATGTAAATGAGCACCGTTGAGAACTGTCAGCCTTGTGGCTTGTGAACACGTTAGAGCAGTGTTTGCATTCAAAGTTATTTGCTTTTGCTAGCTCACCATAAACCTCTGCTGCTAGATTAACATGCATAAAATGCTATATATTTTTATTTCTTATAAGCAAAATGTAACTGTATAGGTAGAATATATCCTTACTTAAGAAAAATGAATTGTATGCTTAGTAATAAGAATTCACTCCACCAATAGAATAGGCTTGCAGACTACTTCATCTTTTCAGGTTTATTAGATTATAGAAATACATAACCCATGGGTATTTCTCATCTTATTGCCTGTTGCAAATTGATTTACACTAGGTTGGTGTCACTTTAAATTCAAGTGCTCAGATTTCTGATTTGTGGAAGATCTTGTTTCAAATCATATGATGGCTTATATGTAAAACTTACTTGGCTAAGTCATTCTAGCTACTGTCATCTTTATGTCACACTAAGTTGCTTCATGGAGGAACAGAACTGGAAGGAGAGTCATCTCTGGAGCAGGATTGTGCTAGGCAGTAATATATGTGTGTGACCAAGGAGCAGCGCGAGGGGATTTGTACACATCAGTCCAAACAGCACTTGCTTCAAATACTGTAGTTCTTGCAGGACAAAAAAATTTGGCCTTACAAGTCTGAAAATGTTAGAAATAGGCAAAACTGGGACGTTGTTTAAATGTAGCTTAGGAGCAGCAGCCCTTTAGTAGAGAAGTATAATGATTATTATTGCTAATTATTATCTATTATTGCTATTGATTATTATTATTATTATCTTTAAGCAAAAGGGATAAGCTGTAGGCTTAATGTCTTGATCCTCGGTCTATACAGTACTACAATACTATATTCAAAGGAATAAGGGCCACAGTTGAATTCTAAGGTTTGTATAACACGCTTTATTTGTATGTCGTTTTCTATGGCCATGCTGAAACACTGTTGTTTATAATGTGGGAAATATTCAAGCATAGGAATTAAACTGTACTTGATTTTCACTTACTTTAATCATGCATAGAATTTAAGAACAGAAACTGAAAAACATACAGCTCTGAAATCAAAATGTCATATGTAAAGAGCAGAAAAAGGGAAGGTCTCGTATACTGAGGAGAATGTGTACATATCTACATACGTAGGTAGGATTAGTTTAGCTGTTTGCACATAGCATTCACGGATCTGGAAACAGAGTAGGAGCTTTCTTTTCTAAGGTGGAGGGGAAAAGGAAGCTGAGGGAGAGAAAAGTAACAGTAGTGGACTGGGTGCTGAGAAGTGTTGAATCTCATCTTCAGAAGGTTTGGTGGGGGCACAGGAACAGTGGATCCAACTTGACATACTTGCATCAGCTCTACTTGTAATAGTAATTGCTTTCTGTAAACAAATTTCAATTTTAAAAAGCATTTTTATTTTTCCTCTTTCCTAACCAGATCAAAAAGAAGCAGCAAGAGGTAGTGGGCTTTTTAGAGGCCAACAAGATTGACTTTCAGCAAATGGACATAGCAGGTGATGAGGACAACAGGAAATGGATGAGAGAGAATGTTCCTGGAGAAAAAAAGCCTCAAAATGGAATTCCTCTTCCTCCACAGATCTTCAATGAGGAGCGGTACTGTGGGGTAAGAAGTTATTTGAAAATCTAATGCCTTTGGACAGTCTTCTTTTACAGAAAGTGACACTTTTTCATTAGTAAGGAGTGTCCCCAAACAAACTCCTTAAGACAATTAGAGATTCACTTTCAAGGACCTTATTCATAGAAAAAGCTTTTAGGCACGGAAAGAAAATTAAATATAAGATTTTTTTTTTTTTAAGAGAAAAAAAAAACAGTTGGAAAAGTGATTAGAGAAACTCTACTTATCAGGCTAAATTGATTACCCCCTGCAGACCTATGCCTATGCATGGAGTTTGCCGCCTGTGAGGAGCTCCATGTTTTTCCTTTCACATTTTCCTACCTCCTGCTGTGTAGCTCACTCACACTTTAGCCTGCTGTTGGCTCACTGCCTAAATTCTTCAGCTCCTGAAGACCAAAATCAGTACTGGCTAGGTGGTACTATGGCTTCTTCACACAATATCACAGGATAACCAAATGTAGACTATGAAAACAGCTCAACTGCTCTAGGAGTAGTGAGTGCGCAGTGATGTGGTTTAACAATATTGACCTACTTGGTAGCTGTTTGGCACTTCAATTCTTGAACTTTCAGTTAATTTTGTGCGTTGTATGTTGGTTCCCTGCACTGCTAGGAAGTCAAGCAGATGTCTGAGATACCGGGGCTGTGAACAGGCATCTTTCTTTTCCACTGTGTTACAGGAAATATATTTAACTACAATGGTTCTTATGTGTGATTTGAGTTATTGAAATTAAATCACTTATTCAATAAATCCAACTCTTCATAACAGAAATGGTAACACATCTTCACATGTGTTTGTAACAGGTTATTTCTTTTGAGAAAGTTCAAACTGATGACATAATACTTTTATAACATAAATATTAGGATTGAGATTCAAAGGAGAAACCAGAGACAGTTTTTTTGCTAATAATATGTATGGAAATACAAGCTGTAAAGTACTCTGATACGATCTCTGAAGTGAACTTGCAAAGTACTTTGAAACGCAGCTCACATAGTGTGTCCAGTTTTATATTACTCAACAAATCCAGTGTGAACTACTGTAAAGGTTGCTTTGGAAGAGAAGGGATTTGCATGTCATAATGTTTTCAGAATTAACTGAAGTACTCTAAGAAAAAAAAGTTGGTAGTTTGAGTAATGAGTACAATTGTTTCCTCATTTTCTCACAGGTATCTTGAAAGATAACTTGGTAGGTTAGATTTCATGGACATTTAAACATCTAATCTGTACCAATATAAAGTATCACTCGATATATCTTACCCTGGATTTTGTGGCAGCCACTGTTGCCATAAATATTTCTGAGATTCTCTAGAGAGGTTATCTAGTGAACTGAAGAGTAATTGCCTTGCAAAGCACTGCAACCAGTCAGCCTTGTCAGTAAATGATAAATATACCATTTTTACTCCACGTGTGAAGCCATTTCAGGAAGCCAAATAATCCGCATCTGAAAGTAAATTTATGTTAAAGAGAAGTCCTTTCAAAAACATCTCAGTTTGGAAAAGAGTTCAGAAATTAATTGTAGCTACTGATTTAAAAACTAAATCAAACTTGTAATTAGTTTAAAAGTCTCCTTACGTGTCCAGCTTTCAAAGCTAATATATAATGTCCCCAGTGGTTGCATAACAACAAGTCATTTTTTGCATGACATCTCAGCACACTTTCCAAATAAATAAGGTAAAAATATCAATACATGGTTCTTACCCTTCTCCGTGGCAGAAGGTACCTTAGAGGAGCTGCAGAGGGAGATGAAGTGAGATGGCATGGGATGGTTGAGAGCATGGTCAGCAGCTTGCAGGCTGCTGCAAAATTCCTCAGATGGACCTGATGTCTTCCACAGTATATCTACAATACAGAGCTGGGGATTTGTGTTCTACTTCCCTGCATAACCTTTGCAGGCACAACAGACACTCTGAAATCCAGGACTGTTTTGCCGTGTTTGAAGTTTACATAACATATATACCTTAACTCTTCCCCAGTCCCACTTCCTTTGTCTTTGCACAGAGGAAAAATAGAGTGGAGGATAGTGAAGTTCCAGCGTTCTGAAGTCATGAAAGTCCCTTTAAAATATGTTGTTCTTGTTCTAAGAGTCTTGAAGGGTCTCAGCTTCATGACATCTGGAAGCCTAGTGTTTGTATATACGCAGCCAGTTTATACTCATTTCCTTGTATGTCAGAATTGCCCTTTAGCTTAAACAGTTCTCATCCAGTGTATTTGTAACTAGAGGTCGTATCCTCTTGATGTTCTTTTTCTCTGGGCTAAAAAAACACTGAGTTGGTTGGTTTGGTTTATTTTGTTTTTTTTTTTTTTTTTTTTTGCTTATTTGCTTGTTTTGTAAGGCTTTTTTTTTTTCTCCTTTCTATCTTCTTTTTTCTTTCCTCATTCCTCATTCACTTCCCTTACCATTGATGGTCCTGTATGTTTTGTTCCCAGTCGCACATCTACTTGCATATACATAAGCAGTATCCTGCACTCAGGGGATTGGGAAAATGAAAATAAAGATTTTCTTCCTTGCCCTAAGAAAGAGGGATTTGAGTAGAAACATGACAACCTCCAACTATTTTAAAGGCTGCAGCTGCACCAAACACAGAGGAATTCATTATTGGTCTGAATTAAGTAGTGATCCTGCTTCAAGTAGGAGGTTGGACTAGATGGTCTCCTGAGGTCTCTTCCCACCTGAGCTGTTCTGTGTTTCTAGGACTTTGTAAAACATGTTCTGCTCCATAACCACTGGAGAGAGATGAGATGAAATGTACAAAAAAACCCCAACACACAGCAAATGAAGTTTTAGTCAGGTATCAGCAAAAAAAAAAATACATATGTAGTGCTATCTAGTTGGCATTTGAGAAAGCGGATTAGAAATTGATTTGTTTTCTATGCTTGGCTATTGCACCAGTTTCAAATTTCCATCCTAATCCATCAGTGTTGGCAATTATGTTCTTATTTGATCTTTTTCTTAATCTCTTTCTTTGCTCATGTCTAGACAGATGTCTGTGTCTATGTCACTTTCTAAATATACTGAGCGCTCCGTAGCTCTTGCCTTTACTTTTGCTTAAGAAAAAAATGCACCCAAATGCCTAGAAAACTAGGAAGGAAATGAAAAATGAACTGCTTTTATCTGTAAGCTGAAATCAATAGGTTTCTCTTTAAACAGAAATCAAGAGAATGAACTACCATAGTATATCTGTTTTGAAACAGTGGCTTTGTTAAACACGGCAAACGTGGGTTAGATAAGAAGGGACACCCCACAGAAACAAAAGCAGAGGGATGGCTTGAGGAATGAATAATCTGTAACATCAGCAGGTATTCTGTCTGTTCAGGGTGAAATGTGTTCTGGGGCTTCTCCCAGGTTGAGCAGTTCCTATTGCTGGGTCTCCAATGAATACCAATCTGTCCTTTAGATAAATCAGTGAAATGGGCTGTCATCTGGCCTGGCTGTTAAGCTACATTGCCTCTCCAAACTGGACTGAAATGTCACTGATTGCAGCGTTGCTGATATTAGGGTAGCTTCTAAATCGCTTGCTGCAGCCTTTCCCCTAGAATACCATTTGGCAGACATTTATGAAAATACTAAAGCAGCCCAAAACAACAACTCAGGTCCTAATGTAGCTTTACAAACAAATCTCAGGGATGAGTCAGCACCTTCTTATTTACAGGCTTCTATTTTTGGAGTTATTTGGGGTGAGAGGAAGGATAATGAAGTGGTCACAGCAGTAATCTAGGACTCAGCAGACCTGTGTTTAGACCCCTATCTTTTTCAGAGCTGCTGAGTGATTGTGGGCCAGTATGTATAAGCAGAGTGGTTGACTTCTTAGATACATATTAACTTTTTTGCTGTGTAAGATGTGAATCATGACTTCCTCAGAAGCAATTCAGAGATAGCAGATTTTTCTTACTCAATAGAAAGGTTGTATGCATGAACATAAAGACCATGTGAGTTCTAGTTGATAGAATAGGAGCCATACATCCATATTTTTTCAGTTACTTTTCAGTTTCTGGCTCTTAAGAGAAAATGGCCATTTATGTTGTTGATTTATATGTTCAGTTCACATTTGGACAAGACATTTGGGATTGTACATATACATGGGAGGGAACAACACAACCTTTTGCTAAGTTTCTCTGAAAAGATTCTGCATTTTCTGGTTAGATGCCTTTCTTTATAACAATTCCCTTATTATCATATAACTTGTGCTATTATATTGAGTGTTCTCTTTTCATTTCCACAAAGCTGCCCAGGATTTTGAGGGCCTATTTTGTATTCTTACTCACAGCATGGTTTATCTTAATATTTGAATGGGAATAGCTTTGCTTTTGTATGTATAGCTGAGGCACGTTAAAATGAGATGCTTAATTTCATCTGATTCTGATGTAGATACAGTTAAAGTGTAAGCTTCTGGAGGGATTTGCCCAATTGTTCATTTTGCCAGCCAGGATGAAGTTCTCTTTATCCAACTATTCTTCCTGAGCCTGAGATAATGCAGGTACTCGTACAAATTTAGTCATTCTTATCAATGTAAGAAAGATTTGCCTGGGCTAGTCTCTTCCTCCTGTCTTTTTTCTCTGATTTTTGTTTTGTTTTTGTCTGTTTCATTTTTAGGACTTTGAATCCTTTTTCTCTGCTAAAGAAGAAAATATTATTTATTCATTCCTGGGTCTTGCTCCTCCTCCAGGCACAAAGGTATGCTCTGCTGTCCTTCCGTGGGGGTAATATATTTGATTTTAATAAGAGACAAAGATAAGCAGTGACTCAGCATGTCAGATGAAGGATAGTGACAAGCCTTACATTAGATGCCAGTGTAGCAAAATGTTCTTAAGGAAAAATAATATGGCTGATGTAGTATTAAAAAACACTTCTGTCTTCCCTTCTTTCAGAGCAGGCTTGTTACCATGCCTCCTCTTTCTTTCTTTCTTTCTTTCTTTCTTTCTTTCTTTCTTTCTTTCTTTCTTTCTTTCTT